GATATCACGCTATTTTCCACCACCAATGTTGGTTCTATTTGGTTTGGTACCGTGGTATGATTTTAAGAAGAACAAAACGATACGTCTGAGAATATTCAGAATATATTGCGTGCTATTGGTTCTTGTTGCATTAGCCACATCATCGTACCTTCTGTTTCTTAAATCCGAAAAAACGTTTTCAGCAACTCTGTGGCAAAAAGGAAAAAGGGGATAAGTCTAAATTTCATATTTTAGAGGAGCTAAATAAAACTGTTTCACTAAAAAGTGATTAAACTCTTTTTTCCTGTTTTGTACTTCTGAGGATGACCAATGTCATTTGATGTAAAATATGCACAGAAGTAGACTGCATCTGGCCATTAGTTTTTGAAAAACCATTAAATATATTACTTATCCCTGAATACCTTACTTTATCCAACTTTGTTAAAATTCTTAAAGGCTGCAAGTCGACTTAACCCGTTTTGAGATTTTCAATTTTTTATGTTGACAGGCATCCTCAAAATTCTAATTAGCTATAAGTAGACATACACAAGTGATATAGTAGTAACATACCTGTTTATTAATAATTTTAATGATTGGTAAAAATAATAGTTTCGTACATCACAATAAAACATATTTTTTCTGAGGTTATGTTACTCCATTATATTCAAACTTACGTTTATCATCGATCACATCAACATTTATACACTTCTTAAGTACCACGACTATTGATATCCATTGTTTTTCTTTATACTAGACACTTTACTACACTACACAATGTTGTTATTGCACTGTATTGCACACATCCAGTGAAAATAACAGACTGTATTAAGTGCACTTAACCTTAACACTTCAATGTTTAATGAATTTGTTTGGTAATAACAAAAGGGGTTAAGTTGACATATTGCTTTTTATAATTGCTGCCATCTAGGTTAAGTTATATTTAGCTGGGATATGTGTACTTACGACGTTATTGTGTTGCTAATTATTAAGGAAACCTCGAATTAATGTAATTTTAAGAGTTATGTTTACTTAACTCTTTTCTTCATTAGCTTTATTTGGCAATACTATATTAAGTAGAGATATCCCATTTTGTCAGATCATCAAAAACAATATTATAAATGCTGGGAGAGAAGAATGTGAATTGTGGGATATGTATCCCTTTTTTCCTTTTTGCCACAGAACTATGTCAGTGATAACCGTCAGCATGATCATTTCCGAAATAACTAACCCACTGCTTTTCGTGGTCACTGTGCTGGGGTCCACGTTTTGGAATGTACATGACTGGCAAGAGTTGTTTCATAATATTCTGGTGATGGAACAGTTGTTAGATCAAGCATCACCTTATTTTAACTTACTGTTTCTCTTGGGAAATATATCTTTAACCGTTATGTTCTTCATTGAAATCCTAAGTAAAGGAAGTCCAATTATATTCTATTTGATTTCACATTTTATATATCGCTACTTTTATTTCGTTATTGCCTACTCAGTTCCTGTTACAAGCATCTTCATCTTCATATATCAGAGCTGTAAATCTTTGAACGGAATAAAGAAAGTATATTTCCATGTAACCCATCTCATAGAGTATTTCAATGTTGTTTGTGATTGGCCGCTGCTGATGCTCTCATTCTATGCCATGGTTCACGGACAGATGCTGTTTTCATACATACTAGTAGATCGCATCACATGGAATAATACAGAGATTTTCTTGGATAAGAAAACAATCTTTATGAGTGTAGGATATTTTATTATATTAGCGGTAAGTAATTAATTTGATAATTTTTTACTGATTTAGTTACGAATCTCGAAGAACTCTGTTGCTTTCACTCTCATTCACTTTATACACGGTTTAATTTTTTCTCATCCCCAGAATCAGGTCGTACCCTATGGAATGACTTACACTATAAAATAGATAAACAGCTAATATTGGTGAAAACAGCACTTGATAATTGTTGGTATTGGCGGTAAGCAATAAACTTAATGTGTTCCTATTTCTAAAATATGATTTAATAACTTATAAAGCATTCAATCTAGAAACACTTTCAGAAAACTGATGTAGTCCACTTTCAATCAGCGTATTACAAAATGTAATATTATTAAGAATCTAACAGCGATGTCATTTAAGTGTCGCCTTCGATACAAAGCGGTTGTGTGAGGAAAATTAAGTTACGTAGAAATGATTCAGCTATTTTCCCAAAGCCAATAGCAGTTGTTCTGTGTATATTTGGTGCGCTCGCTTGTACAGCTTCAAGAGACACGTTTTGATTGATCCAAAAATATTCAAGGTTTATTCTGTGCTGTTGACGTTTGCAATAGTCACTTTATCTGCAAACTTATTCTATCTTAGAACAGAAATAACGCTTCCAAAATTTCCTTCAATAGTAATGGTTATGGACGTCATCATAGAAATAGAAAGTTTAACCTTAATTGCCACCACAGTGTTAGGATCATCGGGGAACATGTCTTCTTGGCAAGAGCTATTTCGGAATATTCCTAAGGCTGAAAAATTATTAACACCACTTGGTTTCAAATCAGTGTTCTTCATTGGAAATGTATCATTGATTGTATTATTCTTAATCGACATACTAGACAGCTTTGTTTTCATTTTTATTCAACTTTTATTTGACCGTTACGTGTGTTTCCTTGCCGCTTATACGATTATTGTAATTAGCTACCTTACAGGGTGTAACTAAATAAGTGTAAAACATTTAAGGGGGTGATTCCTCATCGAAAAAAAGATAGGATCTTTCATATAAATAAACTTCATTGGAGCATCCCTTGTTAAGATACAGCCCCTTAAAGGGGGTACATAAAATTTGTTTAACAATTTTTTTCGCAAGCACTAAACAAGTTACAATATTGAAATTAACCTGACATTTTCTACTACCAAAAAGACACTTAGCCAGTAATTTATTTGGTTTACCCCATGGT